TGATGCCCCGTTCAATTCCAGTCCCTCTTTGTTTTCTTGGGCCTTTCTGAAGGCATATTATGAAGCAAACTGAAAAGAAATGATGATAAAGATTTTCCTTGTTTCAAACCATTCTGAATAGAAATGCACGAGACAAATGTTTACCTAAACGAACTTTACTATAGGTTTTGTTTAAACACATTGTAATTAGCCTAACTAGCCTCATTGATACACCGAATTCAATAAGAATGATGTGTAATACTTCTTTCCTAATTGAATCATTTGCTTTCGTAAAGTCTATAAACGGCCGATGTGGTATCCCATTGTAGAATTTTGTTGTTATCACAACGGTGAGTCTGAAGAGGGCTGTCTTCTGGGTTGTTACGCCGTGTAGTCTGGCATAAGTTTTCCTACGTTTCAGATGTCCTTGCTGCCTCCATCATCAAGTCACAGAGTATCCTGATGATGGAGGCAGCATCTACGTTCGAAGCAAAGTATTTTGGAGGTCTTCAATTTAATTAATAACATTTTATCTGATGTCTGTATTTCATTGGTGATTTTAGTTTTGTAAAAGGCCCAGTAAACGTCTTGGAAGCCTCATCTGTGTTGCTTCCATCCTTTCAGCGTTCGCTATCTGTCGTATTTATCTTCCCCATAAGTTTGCTCCAAAAATCCTTCGTTAGAAATGTCAATAACAACGGGTTACTGTGTTTCCGGTCACACTTAAAGATGCGAATTGAGACTGCCCTTGGGCCCAAATCCAATACTCGGCCCTCTGCCTAACGTAAACTTGAAAGGCGTCCAAAAGAAACAGCTGTTTGAACGTGCATAAACATTCCTGTGTCTGAAATTGCCACTTAGCACTGTAAGAGAATCCATGCTTAGGGAACATTAAGGTAAAATGCACTCCCCTAAACCCGGCGCCAGACTATTCACCAGAAACAAACGAGGAAAGATGTAGGCCTAGTGGAGTTTAAAGTACAGAGAGCTACCAATTTCTCATTCGCCTTGATGCTAATTCCTTGTAGACACAAATCTGTTACTGCAAGAACAAATAAATACCAGAGATATACAAATATTGATAGAGCACGATAGGAAAGCAAGATGGAGTCAATTACACAATACAGATCTTCAGAAATAAACGAAACCAAATAAAAGATGATGAAAAGGATACGAAACGCAGAAGACCTGGCACTGAGCTGCATTATCAAACATGGCGTAAATAAGACATAAGACGTATAATTTCTTTAAGGAAAAACAAAACACGTAATTTCAATATGCAGGCCCCCATTCTCACCGTCCTTGTTAACTTTGTGATGGTATCAGTTCATTCGTGGACTTGTGACTGCGCAGTGTTGCATACAAAAATGTTTTACATAAAATTGCGACTTTATGACCACTCTGCTTATAATAAAAGGAGTACTGAACTTTATTTTGAAAACATTCCTGAAAATACTTCATTAGTGAGAATTCTTATCCGCACTGAACAAGCATCGATTTTACTTTTCCCCGTAAAATTCTGAAAATGGAGCAGATTCTAGACACCCCTCAGCTAATTATGTTTAGCCTTGATTTAGGAGTCGAATGGCGACATCTCATTTTACGTTCAAAGTAGAAGCAGAACCATCTCCTTTTAGTCGTCACAAACAATAATATGATATCTTGTCACGTGCCATCAAGTGTTACTCATTTGCAAGCGGCGCTTACGTCACAGTAGAGCCACTTCATATTCAACACTCTTTGAACTGGCTTATGTAATGTTGCGCCTTGCCAATTACGGAGCATAGCACATCTGTGCCTTTCTTAGGATCCAGCAGTGAGAATCATTGCCCAAATGCATGTATTAATACTTTTCGCTAAATGTCAGACGGAAGATAAAATTAGTCGGTTGCATGATGGAAATTCAAAGAGGGATTTCGCAATTTATATCAGTCATCTAGTATTGATAGGACAACGAAATAAGGTGGCTAAGGTGGACTGAACAACTTTGCGAAATTTCATTAAATAATGTACAAGAAGGCTACACGTAAATATTTAAATGGAATTTCACGTTGGTACCTTATGAAAACTAACCATAATTCCTACCTTATATTACAACAACCTTAACACGTTTCTCGCTAATTTCGTATCGCACAAAAATACGGTAGTTTATATAAAAAAACTAACTAAACCACTTCTACTCCGAGATCATCCAAGTACCGGGTCAGAGATGATGCCCCTAACTTGGAACCGAGGGAGTACAATTATAAAATGCTGCTTCATGACCAGGTGATAGATGCGTATGGAGCAATGGTGGAATGATTGTTAGCGGGGAGGAGGGGCAGACGAACTCGGAGAAAACCCTGCTTAAGTGCCACTTCGACCTCCACTAATCTCACCTGCGGTCACCCGGACAACGCGTTTTAATTTGTGGTTTTATGTACTCTAATGTTATGTGTCTGAAAAATCTTTGTCAGAATTAGAACTCTGGTTCTCAGCACCATAACATCTCAGCTTATGATTCATGTGGCATTTAACGACGCTTTTCAAATTAAAATTCCGAGATGGCGACCGTCTAATAAATTATTGCAATTGTGAGTACAATATTAGTATTAGTACGTGTTAAAAAGCGAGATTTCAGGTTCTCGCGGAAGCAAGTATGAAGATGGTAGTCTTTTGGGTTGTTGCGTCGTGTTGTTTGGTAGCAATTTATAACGTGGTTAATTTCTTCCTGACTACACGGCGCAACAACCTAGAAAGCAGCCATGTTCATGTTATAAACACTTTTACAATGTTGTACGGAACAATTTTGGACATGTTCTTTCATCCTTTCTGCCTCCTTCATGATTCATACAGATTTTGTGCTAAAAGTGTTAGAAAACATAGCATTATTACAGAAATTAATAATCAGATATCTGTAACTGGAGTTCTCATGTTATAAAACATGGCGACATAGTCAAATCGGTGACGTAATGCTATGGTGACCAAGAAAAAGGTTCCCTGTACTCCGGACCTCAACGGAAAACAATTTAACTGAATTACAAACGAATGTTTACTGAGTTGTTTTGAATGCGCAAGGCACGTGCAGATAGTTTATCTACTTTGGATATATGCGATGGAGTGGTTCGTTGAACAATGTGACTACATTATAAATGCGTATTAGGAAGCGCAGTACGATCACAGGGTCACGTATTTGTCGTAATAAAAGTGTCAGGCGCACTGAAGTCAGATTAAATTCTATTCGCAATCTGTTCTTATTTGAGGACGCTGTCTCAATGGCATTATAAAATAAGATGACCAGAGTGGCAAATAACCTCAAATAATGAATTTGAATGTGTGTCGTGGCCTGTTTAAAGACGCTGAACCTGTATATGCCTGAAAAATGCGTAAGAGAGGCAGAAAGTGTATTATGATGTCCGATAACCTGATCTCGAATAAGCGAGTACACCTCCAGAATGCAATTATAAAGAGTAATTGCTACACTAACATAGTAACCGATAAAGCCTGATTAATGAATCGGATGGTCACAAAAATTTATACTTTTTATTTCATGGCAGGCTGAGCGAACTGTAAATATGTCCGATCTTCATATTTTGCGTATCCAACTTGAATCCCGCCCAGTAACTGTTATCCTCACTGATATTCCTCAAGTTCTTAAATCAATCTCGAAAACGGAGTTCGACTTTCCATAACTATAAGAAAGGTGGAAAAAATTGGAAAACTGAATTTAAAATGCATTCTTTGTGATTTTCTATCCCTCGTTGGGTTTTCTATTGTGATGATTCTTTTTTATTGTGGTGACAATTAACAATGTTTGCCAGAAAACATACTCCATGGAGCAGGGCCTTTCTTGAGAAGGTAATAGTATGCTCAGCTACTCACGAAATTCCCCATGTTTTATGGAATCAGAAGGTTCACTACCTTGTACACAAAACCTCACTACCAGTCCCTGAAAAATTTACCAGAAAAATGTTTTAATTTTCAAATACAAAGTTTTGTCCTTGATTTATGTTCTTAAAACGAGGATTAAGTGTAACCGATATGTTATTTCAGCTCCGAAAGTATCAGCCACTTACTGAATCAACTTATAAATATAATGCCAAAGGCATGTACGATGCAGACTATTTATATAATCTTAGTCTTCTCCACTCACTCTACTGATTTCGTTAACAAACTAACCTGGAAGTGTGGACGTCATCGCAAACTTTTGGGCGTTTCTGTGAACTGTGGGCTTCAAGGGAGATACCACGGTGGAGGAACCATGGTACGTTGGTCCTGTGAACACAGTCAGCTTGCACTGCACACTCACTACAAACCGCACTTTGCAAGAGTGTGACCTTGTTTTAAAATAAACACGGATGGTTAGTCTACGGGAATTGTCTCAGGATGTGGATACCAGCAGACAGTAAGTAACCTATCTGCTTCCGCGACAAGAGTTAACAACAAGGGGCACAGCGCACATACAATATTTTTGCAAGACAGGTTCACGATACGAGTTTGTTGCTTCATAAGGGATGAGTAAAGCTACTCGGGGTAGAATGGAAACTGAACTGTCTCAAAAGGAAATCTGTGTATAGACAGACGGAAAGTTTCTCTGAGAAACTGAAAATGTTAAATGGAAATGGAAAGACACGGAATAATTTAAGAGAAAGAAAAATAAACAAATAATCAACCGAAAGGAAAGAAACAAAGGACGAAGAAAGAAAAGAAGAAATTCAAATAAACAGAGACGTAGAACATCAGGTGCTAATGTGACGAGAGTGACTAAATGGACTTGTTCAAAGCAGTCGATAGGTCCACCAATATTCGGCTCGAACCCGGTTACTTGACATTTACTGAAATGTAGGAATGATATACAATGTGACCTAAAAATTACTAGGAGGAAGTGGGCGTGGCATACTGCAAAGTTGTACCCTGGTGTTCGTCAGAAAGGACTGAGAAGATAACGATAATTATCGGTTAGTCTGTCCCGTCCGAAACTCGAACCGGAAAATTCGATTGTACGCATACGAACAATACCACTGCTGTTTAAAAAGGTAAAGTCGGTCTAGTTTCAGAGCATGAACTTTCATAACCAGCTTGGTTTCTATTAATATTATTCAGCGTATGAAAAGAGTGTAAACATTCAGTTCATGTATCACCTCGTAATTCCTCCTCCTCGTAAATTCTACCCCGTCTTCGTCCAACTTCGGTCTAAACCTCGCTAACGCTGCCCCCGTGTTAACTTGGGCCGTATTGTTTTTCTCGTATTTCACTGTTTATGATATTGCTCTTGGACACCATCATGGAATCAAAACGTAAATGTGAAAGTGATAATAAAGCAAAGAAAAGTTTTAAGCCTATTACATTAGATGAGGAAATGAAAGTTCTAGATAAGTTGCGGGGTGGTATGAGCACAGCAGTCAGCATGCAATTCTGTTGACATTTTGTTTTTTAGTCTAACTTTCCGTTCACATTTTGCTTTAATGCTTAACTTATCGACTTTACTTTATTGTGTTTATTACACAGCCTGTTCATAAATAACAAAACATAATTATTTTGACTTTATACGGCTGTATCCCCGTATTTTCATTAATCCCATGCCATATTAAGTCCGCCCAACGCGGTTTCACCGAACGCGACGCTTTCGAGTAATGTATTACCCGCGTTGGACGAGGGTTTACTGTATTTCTGCACGCGTTGTACCAATAAGCGAAGCTGTTAAACACACATGTTTCTGAAACTGCAAGAGGTTTTCAACGTCAAAGATTAATGTACGTAGTTTTATTAATCACATAAAATTTTGTACACACTGAAATCCCCAGCCGAGGGTTTATCCAACACGCAGATTAGGATACCGATTTATTTCCTCGATAGCAGTGTTTCCCAAAGTGTGGAACGTGAAAAGTTTCAAGTGGTACGCCACAGTAAATAAATTACTAAAATTGCTTCAGAGTCCTACCTACTTTTAAACGAACACAGACAAAGAAAATTCAACAAATTCGTGAATACTAATAAAGAATTAATTCTCTGGAATTTCTTACCTTATCTAACAGCCTTTTTTAGTTCGTACCTAAAGCTTCAACAAAATGTGGTTTGACCGCTTAGAGTTAACTACTTCTGATACAGGTTGATCGAAAAGTCATGAAACCCATATTAAAATATTTGTTTATGATTGCAATTCGAAACAATTCGATTGGATTAATAAACACACATGTCGGTGTGACTATACATGAGCCCACACGGGTCTCGCCATGTTGTAACCTACTCGCGCCAGTCCGTCAGTTGTCGTTCGACAGTCGAAGTGCAAGACTGGCCTCAAATGACATACTGTAATTATAAATCGGTTTGACACTTCAGCGTTGATCTCTGAATGTAAGACTGCGTTTTCGGAGACCGCTGATAACGTGGCGTGACTTACTTTGAACAGGAGTGGAGGCGACATCTACGCGGCGAACACCTCGCGGACTCTTGGAGCCAGAGGCTTTTAGAGAAGGCGTCGAGGCACGATGGTTCCTGCTCTGCTTGCACACACGTGAGGGCCCTAAAAGCAGTTTCGATTGGCACTCCATGATTGGGGTTGTGATCAAAGTGCGCGGATGCATGCATGGATGATGCAAGGTCGGGCAAATCCATGGATGGATTGACGGATGTGTTTTCGGGTGGATAGGTTGGTAACTCGGTGGTAAGCTGAATAACTCTGGTATCAAGGAAGATTCTGCGCTGGTATCTTTGCATAATGGAGTGTGTGAACTGCAGACATGATGTATTTCATATGCCGAGACGTTATAAACAAGTCTATAAAATCTGTATGAAACGCGATGGTGTGTTGGAGGCAAAGTTGCGCGTCTGAGGACTTCAGTATATTACACCCGAATACTACGACAAATGTTATTCAGAGTTGGAAACTAAATTGTATTACTGATAATAAAAATATAAGGTAGAAGAACTAAAAAGAAAGGTCTCCAGTTTTATCAGACCTCTTCCTTACTCACTGAAATGAAGGATTACTGTGGAAACGTTAAAAATTTTCTGAATTACTTTTCTGCATAAGTTAGATAACGTACGCATGCTTAAGCAACCATTTATTATAGAGTTGAGGACGGGTGAAATAGAACCTATTTTCATTTTCTATCTCAGAAATGAATGAAGTAGATAAACTTTAATGAAGCCGTACGGTGACCTGATAATAAAGTTTAATTAACACTGCAAGAGCTTCTGATGACAATATGGCCATTTCAGTTTTGTTTGAACGCAATCTGGCACCGTTATGATCGTGTGTGTCACAAGCGACTGGAAAACAGCTGATACCATTTTTCATGCAGTCACTTGAATGCGAGTGACATTGCCACGTGTTTGCTAACATAAATAAATTCCTATTACTATGATTAATGATTTATACATTTGGTCCACTTCAAAGCATCAAAGTGACGCCACAGGCAGCAATGGGTTTTAGCATTCAGTATAACATCTAAATTCTTCCTTAATTTAAACAATTTTCAAAGTTCGCATTCATAAAGTAGGTAAGATTTCGTGGTTCTGTTCAACGATAATAACATATTTGCGTGAATGATTTAAACTATATAGGGAACGAAACTTGGCAACGCCTTGAACTTCTATACTTATATTTTTTAAGCTTCGCGAAGATGGCAAATGGCTGCATATGAGAATCGTATTTTTGTAACAACCCTTAACTATTTTTATCCAAATAATATTTAAAAAGTCAGGTCCAAATTCATCGAAAAACACAACGCTTCTCCATTACGAATCGTATGATCGGTTAATGCTGTTTATGGACATAATCTCTACCAATTTTGGGATCATACAAAACCCAGCAATAAACTCTGCAGATAAAATGCATAACTGGGTGGTACAAAAAGTTACCAATGTGATTTAAAATCTTAAAGGTTAGCACAAGAAAGAGGTGGATTCCTTCTAAAACTTTTTTCCCTGCAAAGAGCCTACCTAAAACGACAAAACATATATCCCATTCGTATTAAGGCTCACTGTTCATACCTTCAGAATACAGCAACTTCTAATCATACTTGGACTTTCTGACAAGACTAACAGTGAAATCGTTCGTATTAAGTTTAGTGATTGTTCACAGACAACCAACCGACTTAACAAAAGAATCACGCAATAAATGTAAAGTCTTAAATATTTAACTGTAAATGTAAATCTGTTCAAACACTAAATTAAGCATATAAGCTTGAATAGTCGCTGGAATTACAAGTAGGCGACTTTTCTTGGGAACAGTAAGAAATATGAACATTGAGCGCAAAGCCTCTATTCCGAGACCGCAGTCTGATTTTGGTAGACGTGTACCACTTGGGTCGTTGGCCTTTCAAAACGATGTGACACTGGGTTCGAGATTTCAGAAAGCAGTTAATTTATTGGTGAAGTCAAATTGTTTATAAGATTATTTTCGTCAAACCCTTAAATTAATGAACAGGTATAATGTTTCTTAACAGCAGTAAGTAAAATTGCACTGTTACACGCTATGGAGGCGCTTGGGGGAGAGTAGTTCAGCTCCTACTCGCTCTTCAAGTCGGAACTAGATGGGATGTGAATAGTCAGTGTCACGCTCCGGCAAAGATACCCAGGTACCAGTTGGACAAGAGGCTGGGTGTACCCTAGAGCCGAGGCTAGAGGCTAGAGGAAAAATCCTTTGATTCGAAACCTGGCCGTGAAAGAATTATTACTAGAAATTATTCTTTTGTAGGTTATGTATCCCGATTCGTGACCTACCTTGCAGAGGCGTGGGGTGAACATCGGATGAGACTTCCTGCGAGGTCGGCGTCAGAGCACCACTGACCGTGACGTCAGCAGTGCTGTGTCTTCCTGCCACAGGGTTGAGAACAATATGCACCTTGAATGAAGAAGATTGACTTGGCGTATGTAACATGATGCAAGAACGGAAATGTGTGCTGCAGTCTAAGCGCAAAGCGCATCCTCATTGGTCATAATGGTCTAGAGTTGTCAACAAATTCAGTCCTCACTCAGTATGGCCAAAAATATTTGTTCTTGTGACAACAACGGAGCGAGTGCGCCAGAACTATGTGTACGTTTTCTAACGGGTTCTGTGTTGTGCTGTCCTACGCAGTACAGCATTTGCAATGGGCCGATTCCCCATCCAAGGAGTCCTCATAGTTTCAGATAAATGTCAACTAAATTGAAACAGGCCACAAGGCAGAAGTTGCAGATTACGACGAAGAAAATTTTTTGTTATATCTGTTCAGAGAAATAAAATATTATGCGTAAATGGACTGACCCACGTAACGTCTCAAAGAAATATTTTACCTTAAAACGAACGCTGTCCTGTTCAGGTTTATGCAACGTAGATGGTGTCCTCTCGTCTTCATTTTCTTCAGTCAATTCAGGCAGAGTGGCGTTGTCTCTCTTCAGTGACATTTCTTCTAGTGACCAGTAGCCCAAGCGTAGCACTCTCGAACTAAGAACACCGACACAATAGTCGTACGTAATCAGTATGTTAAGTGGTTTCATGCAAACTAATGAAAAGACAGAACCCCCTTGTGTGACGCATGCGCCATACAGATACAACAAGAAATAACTGATTTATATCCGGTAAAGAGCGAAGTTAATTGCTCTGGACAGCATATTGCTGCAACTTCAATATAATACGTACACAGAAAGTGCGGGGGCCAGTTGGCATGATAACAAGTAGGTCATCAAGTCTGTTTGTTATTACATTGTCACGTTTTAAATTAAAATGCGGACCAATCAGTTACAGTTGTCTCTCACTCCAGGATGTGATTTTACTGTGAAGACTATGTACAATCTAGTGGATCTCATCCCGAAATTCCTGAGGCGTGAAAAATATCTTAAGCTCATAGACTGGTGATTTAAGACGCTAAAGTCATGGGTTGGAATCCCGCTCGGTACATAAATGTCGGTCCTCCTTTTAAGAGTTGTCCTGTGTTGGTACACGCCTGGCAATGGGCTGATCCCTCACGCAGGGCTTCCTAATGGTGAGTAAATAAATATACAAAATGTTGCCGACAATAATAATTTACTGAGACAAAACATACCGCAAAGACAAAATCAAAATAAACGTGGCAGCCAAATCAGGATTGAGTAGAAATTGTGCAGAGTCAGTGGGCTGGTCACTCACTACTTCACGACCAATACCAAGAAACCTCCGAATAGGAGGCGGTGGAAACCCACAACAGGGTTGCAGAGCCGAGAAACAACAACAACAACAAACGTGAACAAAGCTGTGTATATATTCATGTCTTGTCATCATATTGCACAACAAAATCGCAAATACAAAGACAACTAACAAACCCTTCCCAAACGAGTCGAAATTTAAATGTCTGGAAGCAAATGTAACAAATTCAAATTACATTCACGGAGAGCAGATTCAATCCAGGGAATTTTTGCAACCATTCATTCCATATTTTGATATCTTTCTGTTTCCCACATAAATAACAAAAGTTGAAAATAATTGTACCTGTTGTTTTTAACTTCATCTCACCACAGACCGAGTATTTGGATGTAAGAAAGGGAGAGTAAGGATGTTTATAATGAGACAAGCTGTAAGATCTGTACTCCTCACAAACTATTAGCCTACTAGAGTGATCAAATCAAAGAGGACGAGATAAGTGAAATGAGTAGAACGTGTATCAAATTGAGAAACGTGAAAAAGTGCTGAATTGGAAACCAGTTACCTTCCTGTGGAGAACGCCGGTTATGAAAATTAAGTTACCCATTCACTGCCCCTGAACAGAGTCAGCAGACAGGTCACCAGACGTCTGCACTACTAAACTGTCATTTGGAATATAGTCTGTGTGCATTTCTCGAGACACTCCCATATAAAATTAAAAGTCAAAGAGTCAATATGAATGTCATGTGTGTGTGTATATATCAAGAATTATCATTACTAAATAGTAAAGCTCTAGTTACAAAATGCAGAGGTTAATGAAAGGCGTAGGTTACAGGAATTTTAACGCTTTAAGGTTTTTCTTACCCCCAGATGCCACCACTCTATGAGATGCTTGCTTATTTTACAACAAATTCTATATTGTTTTCTATTATCAGCATTGCTTTACATTCTGTATGGGAAGCAACCTCTAGAGTGATTAAATAAGATACAATACAAATTTGTTTTCAGACCTTAGTTAATTTATTGCAGTAGAGGTCTTGTGACCATGGTAGGAACACACACACCATGCCTTGGTACAAGCCAAACCCTGGTCAACCAGTCCTGCCAAATGTCAAAGATTCAGAAAGCTAGCAGAAATTTCCCCATAAAACCAAGACCCATATCAGTCTATAGTTGTGTTGTGGTATGAATAGTTCGTTCATTCTATTATGTACAAACCTATAACTGGAGTTTCAAACATTATATTTCCTATGTTGACAGGCATCGGAATCTTTAAAATTTACAGAAAACAAGTTATACAACATCTGGAGATTTATTAGATGTAACTCCATAAATTAGACTGTTTCTTGAGAAGCTGACAGTCACTAAGATGTTCAAACAATTCCATAATTTTATTGAATACAATATGTTCACAATAGCCTGCCACTAGACTCTACCTAAAACCAGTTGAATTCAATCCAAAATGTATTTCCACAAGATACATTTCAATATTATATAAGAAAATACAAAAATAACAAATGCTGTAGCATTAATCTAAGAAATCTTTTTGCTATCATGAAAATGATAATGAACTGTTTATTAATATCCATTAAAACAAAGTGAAAAGATGGGAAATTGTGTCACGTATTAGCTTATAAAAGAGCATCAACAATATTCAACATACATATTTAATGTCTCATTAATATATACACTATACACAAATTACACAATTACACTGTCATACTTAAAATATTCATAATTCACAAACACACACACTTTCTCTGAAATGACTGCACTGACTTGAAGCTTTGGGAATCATTTTATTTGCAAGCAGCAGTGTCCTTGAAAACTATGTCAACAAGTCAGGGAAGATTTCAGCCACTGAAATACAAATAAAAATCCTTAACCAGTGACATAATCCCGACTGCCTTTCCCAACATTTCATTTTTCCATATTTATAAATTGATAATACCATTTCTTGTATGACATACCGAACCATAAATTGCACATTTATTTATAGTAGAAAAGACAAATTCACTTTACCTCTGCAAGACTTTGTTTTATACTCCCATTCTGTAGTGGATCCTTTGATTCAAATAAATCTGTTGACAAAAATTGTAATATTAATGTAATGAATTTGAACAAATAACTAGTCTAACTGAGATTTAACATTGTTAATGGCTTCTTTTTAATTAACCCCTTCTCAAAATTGAAGTGCAGGAATTCATAGTAATGAGCAAATTACGGCTGACTTTCATGTCTTCCTGCTAATTTTACCGAGTTCATTATGAAAGCAGATCACACATTACTTACTGAATGCAACACTGAGATGTAAAATGGCAGACACAAAATCCCCAAAACGAAGTGTTCCATCTTTCCTCATGTAGCGAAGAATGAGAATTGAAAGTACATCTGTACTCAACTGGAAACCTGAAACAATGTAAATGAATTGCATGATAATATATTTTCTAGAATAAGGAGATGATAAGAAGTAAATTAATACAAAGGAATGTAATATTATAAATGTAGCCATGAAAGTCAAAGATCTCTAAGATATATTAACTTGGCACATGTAACAAAATTATAAGACTTGTCTTCTTCTAAGTGTAAGTCAGCATAAAAAGGTAAAGGCTGAAATGCAATGGACTGGAAGCTCCTGATTATATCCTTAAAAATAATTTGAATATGACAGTGATGTTGTATTTAATGTATAAAATTTGGTAACAAATTATAGTAACTGAAAACTTTGAGTTCATACAGCAAAATAAATCAACTTCAAGGATGAACAGAGTACTAATGTGACACTAATGTGCTGTTTTATTGAAATATGTAATTGTAAGCAAACTTCTCAATGAAAGAATTAAAATAATCCAAATGCTATCATCTTTAGTCTTGCCCTTAATCAACCATGTTATTATTGTCAAAAGTCACAGCGGGGTGAACGGAATTCCTGCTTTTAGTTTAGGGAGGTGCCAGGTTCAAGTCTTGAATCAGAGACCAGCTATATTGACAAAGGTTTTACATTGCTTTCCTCAGTCCCTACAGGCAGAGAAAGTAACTTCAATTAGGCCATGACTGTTTCCTTTCACATTGTTTAAATCACAGTTCCCTAATCATCTGATACATTTGATGCTGTATAATCTGAGATGTTTAAAGTTTTGTTACATATGGCTACAAATAAAAAAATAAGCACAAATCATCATCATCATTAATATTATTATTAGAGTTAAGTACAAACCACATACCCACTTCCAATAAGGCATCTCTAAGTCGTTCTGCTTTTAGTATCCCTGTTTTCTCTCTTGTGTGGTTTTTGAATGATGTTTGCCAGTATTTCAGGCTGCACATTAAGTCCTTGAAGTCACTGAATTTTAGACGACCACTTCCAGAGGTCTGACATGTTAAGGAACTGAATCATGGTCTTAATGTCCTTATTGCATGCTTCATGTAAATGTTAACAATTAAGAATATCATAACAAATTAGTAAATAAAATTAAGTAACTGCCAAATATTTTCAACTTATAAAGGAATTCTGATTTAAGATTCTTGTGTTAGGCTTCACCTGCATTTACGGTTCACTTTTATTGGTTTTGACCATATAAATAATACACTACATTTAATCATGGAATATACGGCATGAATGGAGGAGATGAGAACTGTACACAAATATTAGTTGGAAAATGTGGAGGAAAGAGACCACTTGGGAGATAAGAGAATATTATTAAAATGAATCTTAAGCAAACAGAGTGTGACACTACAAACTGGATTCATCTGACTCAGAATAGGGTCCAGTGGTAGGCTCTTGTGAACATAATAATGAAACTTCAGGTTTCAAAAAAGGCGGAACATTTTTCCAGTGTAGTGACTATCAGGTCCTCATGAAGGAATTTTCTCCATGTATTAGTTTTTGTTCTCACTGTTCTAGAGATTCCCAATTTAGTGCTTTAGTCATATTTAACAGTCAAATTTTTGGTCCCTGTATGAAAACACATTTCAGTATTTTCAGAAAACTTAATTTTGTAAAGTGTTTTTAAACACATGCAGCACACAGAAAACACTAGACCTCCTTTGAAAGCTTCAGAAGTGAAGATGTTGAAAAAATGATCACTGAGGAAAAGACAGGCTAGGTGGAGAGACAAAACTGAGAGAAGATATACAAATTAAGTTACTTAAGTGTGGATGCAAAAGAGAGAAGACTGTCATAAGATAACCCACCACCAGAGGATGTTGAAAGTAATGATGATATCGTCACAGGTTCACCTGCATAAGGTACCCCAAGCACAGAAGTTTTATTCTGCACAAAATATGAATGATAACTAGTTGCATTGCACTGTCATGATATTCCATTAGAAAGGATACATCCAATGTAAGAACGACTTGCCGACACACCTCCATGCAGGCACAACTCTTTATGTAATCTGAAATTCGGTAAAAACCTAACATCAACATCTGGAGACCAATGTAATTTTCAGAAGAAATCACAGTGAAGTTTATCTCTTAATCACGTACCATACTGTGTACTAATGTTATCAGACCAGTTAATTTAAATGTGCCATTAATACATTATGTATTGTAAGCAATATTCAATTTTAATACAATCTGTTACATTATATGCATTAAAGAGTTAAACATTCGTTATTTATAAATAACTGTTGACACTGATGTAAAGTTAATTCATTGGTTGTGTAATATAGAAATTGTCTCAAACTTTCTTAGCTGTTCTAAACACCTGGATTTTATATTGTAATTCTTGTACGTTGTACCTTTAGATCAAATTTAATCTTCTAGTATAAATATGGATAGCTGGTTCATATGGTACACATTCATTAGTATTCTTCTGTACAACAAAGACTGTGTGTACATGAGTATGAATAAATTATTTGCTTGACAAACACAGTTCTTCATTTGCAGCACAAGACTCACAGCATGAAGTGGTAGGAATGTTTACTGACAAATTGATGGGAATTTCTTGCAAGGTGACATACTGAACTCAAACTTTTCCATGTGACATGCTTTTTAAGTAGTACACTCTTTTAACCTATTAAAACTAAGGCTCATTTAAATAACATCTCAGAATTCAGTCCTTACCTCAAAGGAAACACAGCATTTCTCCATTACAAAAATCAAATATTTAAAGATGTTTAAGGAAATAATTAATTTACTCTGAGAATCACATGAAACCCATAATTAAACTCTGTGAGCAAAATGAAGAGTTACCGATTGTTAAAGCAGGTGGTATATACCAATAGCTTTCAAAGGGTTAATTAACTTCATTATTATGCAAGCAGAGTAAAGTCTTTCTATGGATATATAAAGGCCTGTTATTTGTTGGTACTTCATAATACTTGCCATTTGGTAAACAAGCATCCAGCAATTCTTGCAGTTCAAAGGCATTTACTGTTCTGTGTTCATCGGCCAGCTGTAAGAAAACAGCTTCATACTGGCTAAAACTCTTCCCATCCAGAGTGGCTGGTGCCTGTTGGAAGAACAAATAGTCCATGGTATTACCTGATAATGTAATAAGAAAATGTGGCACAACCTTCATTTAACAGATCACTATAACAAATTCTTTCAAGAAAGAAAAGTAAAGTTTGTAGTAAGACAAAGAAAAGCAACTTTCTTCAGCTATAAAACTTAATCACACATATAAAGAATTCACATATTAAACTTCAATTACTTTGGTTCTCTTGAATCTTCTTTTTTTAATGGATTTCACTGTATTGGTATTGACAGTTTTGTGTGGAATATTAATTATAAACATCCTTGAAGAGCATGAACCACATTTTACAGTAAATGTGCACATTTCCCCTTCCCCTAAAAATTACTGTATCTTTTGAAGCGAAGACTTGAGAAATAAACACAGTGGACTTTTATTTTTTAAATCATAGTGCATGTTCATAGTAACTGCAGATAATTAATTCATAATTTTATTTTTAATTCCATATTAATAGTCCTGTTTTAACTTGAAACTTCAGTTATAAATTTAAAATTAAGAGTCACATTTGACAGTGTCAGTGTTATGATAATCAACTAAGCATTCTTCATTTTAAAGAAGTATAATGAAGGCTATGATAAGAATGCAGTTCTTTCAACCTACCTTAATGATGGCTGATTTTATTAATGACGGCTGTGTGTCAAGTAACCTGCAACAAAAATTACAAATTGAAGCAAAGCTGATGCACCAGAATGGCAAAACCCCCATAAGAACAGGTCATGGAAGATAACGCACCACACCAAAAAGCAAGCACATAATAAATGCACATAAAAATACTGATGTTACCTACTATTTTAGTGGTTTTATAGATAAAAACGGTGTTAATAATTATTTAAATTAGTAGTACAGTGACTCATGTGTGAAAAAATGTACGTGTTAAATCTTATGATGATTATATTTTAATCAAAACATGTGGTTAAAATAAGGACACTAGCAGCCAGCTTCTACAATAAAAACAAAACAAAACAATAGAACAGTATTAGAAGTGAAACAAACAATGAAGTGCACTTCAGAAGAGAATTGATACCAGCCTCATGCAATTCAGAATTAGAAGTCATTACAACTCACTTGAGTTTGAGAGGTTTGCTGGAGTAAACACGCAATGTGAAACTGGATTCCTGCCCTGGTTCAAATGTTGTTGGAAGAACTAGGTATCCTCCTTGTTCTAATTGGCACCTGTGACTCACCTGTAAATAAGACAGAGCATTCAACACTACATTAAATTTTCAGAATATGCAAATAATTAAGAGCCTTATGTTAAATTAACCAGCATGAGCTAATATAGGAAGTCTACAAATTCAAGAGATGGTAAATGATTGTTGAGTAACTTTAGAAACAATAGCACAAATATCAAAAGCATTTGTACTGATAAAATTAATTTTAAACTAAATATCTTCTTTCCCCCCACATACTTTTTTCATGTCACATAGAAATGCTTTCCTAAGCACTCTGGTTTCTACACTTGTAATTTGTGTGAAAGATGAAGGAAAAGTTGTCCTGTGTTTAACCCTTATGATGCAGAAATAGGAGATTTAAACCCCTGAATCATGGGGCTGACATCATGACATTCACTTCAGGGTTAATGGTTTAGTGGTATTCTATTGTGATTCATGGTTGATATGTAGGTTAAGTTCAAGGCTGAACATGGAAATATATGGGAGAGGTAGAGCTCCACCCATTCTTAGCCTTGGCATGAGTTGAAGGTTGGTGACCAGCTTCATGTCCTGGTTGCTTTATCCTAGTAAAATTAATATTTATATAGCTGACGACCCACCATGCAGAAATGTGATCTAAAAAAAGCATCTTATTCACCGAGCAGGAGAGTCAGTACTCACCTGTCTACTGTTTGTGTATTGAGAATTGACAAGGGACTTGTTCTTCTTAAAGAACTGTTTCCCTATTGTTTCAGAATTGTTCTTTGGCAATGAATATGCAGTGAAGCCTATGACCTGTGAGCATAAAATGCAATAAACTATTAATTTGTTTGCTGTCTCTTCCCACATTCAACTGGCATTCTTAATCATGTTATTTCCACAAAAATTGTGTAAATTCTTATTATGTTATTAGATTGTTGTTTGGTCTTCTTTACCTTAGGTTCCATGATGCTGTGTTGGTTCAGTGAAACTATCACTTCTTCCATTTCGCTGAGAATCAGATGAAGCTGGGGGTTGATGTGAAATGTATCTGCAATAACAAGATTCTTCATTAGGAACAACCAGCAGTATGTGCAATTACTGAACTTTGTAGTTTAGTGGTCAGCACTCACGTTTTGTCTTCAAGAGGCCCCAGATTCACATACTGGCCCAGAGATCTGATACCCTGACTGAGGGTTCTTATGGTATTCATAAAATTATATCATATTATTTAGGAATCCACACAATTTAGGATCCAAAGGTGGGGTATTATTTATTTGTGATCTTAAAGGAATTTGAAGCAAACTTCAAAACTGTTATTACTGTCACTTGGTCTTCTAATTAAGGCAATAATCTTCATTGTAAGATTTGAGGTTTTCACAGCGGTGAGTATGAAGATTTCCGTCTTCTGGGTTGTTGCGCTGTGTAGTCTGATAGATGTTTACCAACGTTTCAGAGGTCATACTGCCTCTGTCATCAGGGCGATGAATATGTCATATGACCTCTGAAACGTTGGTTAACATCGACCAGACTACACAGCGCAACAACCCAGAAGACAGAAATCTTAATAATCTTCATTGACTGTTTAATGCTATTTTGAGTAAATAACCTGGATTGTTCCTACATCCTCCAGCTGAGACTCCTCTTTGCCATGCTCCCTGATAAAGACGCATCTGCCAAGTGTTTTTATGATGCAATGATGGCTCATCACGACTCGTATCACTGTCCAGATGAACCACCTCAAGATGTGTGAATGTCTTCACAAAGTCTGAATAAGAGATCCTGTAACAAACAGCATCAACAATGAATAAAGAGTGCAGCTAAGCCAGCTTCAAACTTAAGAGAATTAATATGAAATCAAAAGTTATAAAAATCTTACCAAAATTCACCATCCCCCATATGCCTCACAGCTAGCCGTTCTTTCTCATGTGGCGGCACTTCATCCCAGTCTAATGAATCACGAGCCCAGGCCCCCACATATTCTCCTCCAGGACCCAAGGGGTTCCTTAATTTGACAAGTTGAACAGGCTCACCACTGAATGTCTCGACCTGAAAAATTCAAATTTGAAGTTACAGATAAACCATGGAAACTAGTGAAATTAAATTATTATTGGATGCATGAAAAACCAATCAAAATACATCATATGTTAACCATGTAAGTGTACAGTCAATCTTTTATTAATATTCATTTGTCACGGGGGTTAAAATATGTAATTAAAATTCTGATTATACAGTGAATCTGTGTATGTACTTTAAATGCTGTCATAGTAGAAAGTTGAGGAGGGGGAGATTTTATAAAAAAAATTATTTTAATGGCTATTTAGTATTAAAGTAATGATGATGTACATTCAGATGATTTATAGCAATATCTCAAGGCTTGATAAACTCTTATTAACAGCGTACATATTCCCAAAAAAATTCCAGTAATATAACTGTCACAGCACGCTGGTCTACCCACTCAATACTGTGTTGTTTTCTACTTACATTATTTACTAAAACAAACATGACACATTTATTCTTACTTAGACCTATAATCATTTTCTTACATAAAAAAGATGCCACTATGCCAAATCACTACGTACCACCACAAAACAACTAAATAAGCTTCCTGATTAAAATTAGCAATTGTTCAAGAGCCACTGGGAATCAACAAAGTCTACGAGTAGCTACTGCATGAAACACTTATTTTATTTTACATTCAGTCACACACAATTAACAAAGGCATCAGATGTTCACATACCATGCTGCTAGCATGCAATACACGTGTTATAAATGTTCAGACATAAGACATCAAAGTGAACTGTGAAGCAATTATCTTACAGTTTCCACACTAACACACTACCACCAGCCACACCGCCATGGTGGTCTAGCAGTTAGAACTCTGGGCTTGTAATACTGGGGTCCCGGGTTCGATTCCCGGCGCTGCTCAGATTTACAACTTGTGTTAGGCAAGGCCGTGGTCTAGGCACCACGGAGTTTTCCTCTGGGGGTTTCCCCGGTTTCTCCCTGGCATCCCAACAATTACTCCACTTTCATCATCATCTCTCAAAAAGGGGGTCACAGCAGTAGTGTTAAATGTTGCGGTCCTGATCGAACCCATGTACTGAAGGGTCGTGAATCCTGCTAACCAATGCACACCATGCTGAATGGTGTGTACTGGACAAAAGAAACACCAGCACCTCTTGTAAGTGTAAACACTCCCCCCTTATTTAATTCATATTGTACAAGGTAAATGATACAGAAATGGGGCCATACCAAGATACAGTATCAATATCATGGCCATGCATCAATTAAAACTTGTTTCCAAAGAAGAATGTTATTTTAAATTACACAAGCACTCAAGCATCATCGCCCTGATAACGGAGGCAGTAAGACCTCTGAAACGTTGGTTAACATCGACCAGACCACACAGCGCAACAACTCGAAATCTTAGTTTTATAATCTTAAAATGTAAAAAACTAATGTATCACATGTATCTGCACATACCCTTTCTACAGCATACAGCCGATAATTTGTACCGATGTGGATCCCATTTGCCAATTTCTCAAGCTGATTTCGAATCTGAAATCAAACACTTTTTTTCTTTAATTCTCCATTAATTGCTCTTCAGATAATTTGATAGCTTTGTGGGCTGTAAAAATGATAGCAATTTTCAAAATTTCCTAATCTGCTGACTGGTAAAAATAACAGCGTTTTAATTTTTTTCTTGTTTCATGTTAAAAAATCCAAATATGCACACATAGGCATATATATATATATATATAATTAATGTAAACATGTTTATTTAGAATATAAAACAGATGCCTTTATGTGGTATTTAGGATGATGAGATGTCCTATCATACATGCTGAACAGCCAGAATTCAAATTGGTTTCCCGATGTGTGCCACATGACCCAGCCTTCATTTAATCACGTGAAGAGTACAAATTATGTAACTGCACATAATGTAATCTCCATGTACCTGCTTCTTTCATAAGTCAAAGAAATATTACAGTCAAGACAGTTATTCTGAAAAGAATCTCTGGGGTATAGTAGACAGGATAGGCCATGTTTTACGTTTGTAGCAATGCAACAACTTTTGTACGTTTTAATTACGATTCTAATTATCCCGTGTACTGAAAATCAGTACCGGGATATGCTCACTTGTGTAGATGTTGTCTGCACTGTGCATGTGATGAGTGACGTCATTTCGAGCAGCTTGCTGAGCATGCGTCCGCAGGTCGTAGGGTCCTGTCGGATGCTGACGCTCTCTGTGATGCCTCCCGTGAGGTCCGCCAGGCCGTCTAGAAGCGTCCCGTACTTCAGCGCTTCGTACGACCCATGCAATCTGCATACCACCGACATAAGAGCATTCAGCCTGCAGGTAGCTGCCACACAGCCTGAGGTCTAACAACTGCAGAATCTCAGTGAAGGGTTTTACCCTTGAAAGTCAATGGAAACTACATGTTCTGCCTGTTTTAAGAATCAGTAACTTTTTTGTATTTATGGGTTTCGTACGATTCTCAATGTAAACAAAAATTATTTAGGAGATGGCTGTCTCTTTTGGGTTGAAGCGCCGTGCAGCCTGGTAGAACAATGCCAATGCTTCAGAGGTCCTTGCTGTCTCCATCATCAGGACAATGAGTCCTTGATCATCGCCTAAACATCATCCTGATGATGAAAGCAGCATAGACCTCTGAAACATTGCCATAGTTCTACCAGGCAATACGGTGATACAACCCAGAGGACAGCCATCTTCGTACTCACGACCGTGAGAACCTCAAATCCTACTTAGAAATTATTTACGAGAACAGCATTAACCAATTTATCTTTTTAATAGAGAAGCATTGTGTTTTATTCACAGTATAGACCGAGTTCTTACATGTTCATTAGGAAGGAAATTCTGCCCTTCCAAGGTTAATGTCAAACTTAACGCCATCTAGTTCAGTTTTGAAGATGTGAGGGGAAGGATGTGAAAGTAGTTGGTGGTGACTTAATTTATAGATGCAACCTGGCATTCGGCTGGAGAGACGGAGGAAAAACAGGTACATGGATTGCTTGAAGCAGGACCTGAACGCGAGGATTGGACATGTGATGGTCACGACACCAAGGAATGTGAGCAAGAGAAATTACCAGAAAAGAAAGTTCTCTTGAATATAGGCGGCAGTGAATGTTCGATTTCGACATGGCAGGATGTAGGTAGGCCTTCACAACAAGATCGGCAACATTCTGCTGCCACCTAAATGACACTGTTTCGGGCAGTAACTTACAGAAGAGAGAACTGTACTGCGGCCTACAAGCATGATTTCAGGTTAGCCAAGACAGAAATCTCATAGCGTAACAAAAAGAATGTACGAAACAGAACACGGGCGTTGAGCTGGTTGTTTGGGATGTACGCACGTATCTTTGGTTTGGAAGACCTGTGGGACTTGATACCATTACTTGAAAGATCTTGGAGTAAACTGGAGGACATATTGAAATGGAACGGAATGAAACAAAATGGCAGAGGATGTGTCGATTCATGTGGGTCAGAATAGGGACCCGTGATGGGCTTTTTGTAAACACGGTAATGAACCTTCAAGTTACAAACCTGTAAACCACTGAGAAGTCCTTGACTAACTGAACGAGTGTTCGATTTTCAAGAAAGATTCTTATCCGTTCAGTGAGTTATTACAGCAAATTAATTAACGTTTAAGGTTGTAAGATAAACGCAGTCTTACTATTGACAAAGCAATAAAATATTACATCGAAAAATTGGTTCTTTAACGGCATTTGTCTGAGCAAGTTATTCGCGTCAAACACGAAAACGACAAAGATGAATTGGGAATCATGTAAATTAAAACAACATTCCAGCAGGGACTGGGGAAAAAGAAGAATTCCAACTCAAGATAGCTGGTATCACGGTCGAGATTCGAACCTGCGAAGTCTAGAATACGAAGCAGCAGATCCAACCACTCGACCGCGATACTATGTTCCAAGCATCAGAACGCGTTTAATTAAAAAGATTAAATGATCACAAACCAAGTCGTAAGTTAAATAGAACAATCAAATTTCACCATGTGCACCAGAAGTAGACCTACAATTTAAATGGATGGGAGAAACAGGTGTTAAGACAAAAGGCTTTGTGGTATATATTTATGGAAACATGGGAGCGTACACGCGACCTTTGAGGAAAACAGAATAGAGTGTAAGCCGCCCTTCCTTCTAAAATTCTTGCACGAATTCGCATCATATAAAAAAGTCACGGTCTCTGTATTCTGGAAAATAACTTGCGGAAATGACGCGAATCATTCGGATGTGAAACCGATGGACCCGGGTGACTGGGCAGTCATCGGGTCCCTGTGATTTTTCGCCGCGGAGTACTTAATTAACAACAGCAGGCCTTATCGGAATATTGCAACTCCATGGGGCTGAGCCCTTAATGAGAAGCTGGTCAAAAAATTACCACTTTTCGAACCCGAAAGTACACTGTTATGCTCACAAGAACCCTTCCAATAGTATCCTTCCATCTATGCCTAGGTCTCCCAGAAGGTCTCTTCTCTTCAGGTTTACCGACCAAATCTTTCTATTCACTTCTGATTCCCCCCACAGTACTACTACGTTTTCAATGCACTCCCTTGATCTGTTTAACAATAAAAGTCCAAATTATGATTTTTTTAAACTTATGTACAGATTGCCATTTTTCTGTCCTATTCTCGTAATTATGCCTAAATATTAACAATACTCAAACATGTATTGTGACGTTACAATCATTGAAAGAATGATACAAGATGGCTGCTTACGGGCTGGATGGCCAGGTTCGATTCTACCAACGCCACAAGTTTTTGTCTTCGTCACCACGCCCAGCCCCCTTACAACGGACAGGCTCTTAAGCTGAGGGGAAAGCCGACCGGAGCGTTAAGCTGACCACCCAGCTAGAGGTCTAGGTGTTTTGGTGCCTATATACAATATCCACGCTCATAATTATGTCCTGGAACAGGCCAAGGGCCTAAACTTTTAAGTATAAGAAAGAGTAGTATCATGAGATGAATACTTTTATTTAAGTTATCGCAGTTTAACGACGCTTTCTTAACAGCAGATGATATGGGAGGATGACTGCGATGTAAAGAAAGCAGCCGTGGTCTGTCTTAAGGTGGAATTAAATAACTTGTCTTGATGGACTGGCCAAGAAGCACAAGAGGATAAACGGCCTCATAGTCGACAGTGCCATCGCCAACCACTCCGCGTTGAACTCTACGTTAGAATTCTGTAACCATTCTAGAGAAATACTTTTGCAGCAAG